TAAACCCGTATAATAAACGTCTTATTGGCTTTTTTGAGGAAACACATGAAAATGTGTTTAACTTTGCTATTTTACAATCAAAGCCATTGAAAAGAAATTGATGCCGTTGGATATAAATAAAAATACAAATACGAAATGAACTAAAATGTACTCTAACTAATCAGAATATATCTGACAGTAACGCCATACACTCCTTCGCCTGATTACCAAAGTTAAAAAGGAATAAAATGAAACTAATATTTTTCGGATTTTACTTCGCGTTTAATTTTTGATTAGAAAACTACATACTCCCGACGTTTCGGCTACTTGTCAGTAACCGTGATCACGGGCAGACGAGATGTGAGTGTCTGTCAGTTGGTCTGGTTATTTTATCTCCTACCGCCATCGATTTCTTAATTGTCTTGCGTACCGCTCTGGATGCCGGCAAAATGCGCTCACGGTACCTCGAGGTCCTGGTGTGTGTCGGTGTGGTCACGGACATGGGATTTTATATTTTTAAGAAGAGGATCACAGGTGTTTGATAGGTTCTAGCCATCTTCTCTATTGAAATTGGGGTGTTTTTTAATTTCAATAGCCTCGCGGATTAACCTTGGTATATATCTGTCTTCACGAGCGAGGATATGTGGTTTATCAAATCTAATGTAATGGCCTGGTTTGTCCAATGCATGTTCACACACTGCTGACTTCGACGCGCGCCTATTCCTGACGTCTGAAATGTGTTCCTTAACCCTTGTACCGATGCTTCTCTTTGTCTGTCCGATGTATGACAAGCCACAGTGCCCGTGATCACGGTTACTGAAAAGTAGCCGAAACGTCGGGAGTATGTAGTTTTCTAATCAAAAATAAAACGCTAAGTAAAATCCGAAAAATATTAGTTTCATTTAAATGAGTACTCGCGAAAATCTTAGATATCATTAAGGAATAAAAACCCTAGAAAACCTTATATGACTTAAAAGGCTGGAGGTTAACTAGTGAAAACGAATTCTCATTTTCAGGTGTACAAATATTCACTTATATATTAATTATTATTAGTAATGCCATTTGTCGAAACAAAAAAAACCGATCTAGTCAATCCGTATCAGATTTAAATCAATTATTTATGACTCAAAGAAAAGACTTTTCACCCTACCAACATCAGTTCCTCTTTACCGATAAAAATACCATTGGTTTACTTTATACAAGTGAAACTTTCAACTTCTTATCTTTCTGTTTTAGTTACAACTGTTTCGTTCCAATAAAAAAAAAGAAATTCTCATAGGATTTTATCCCCCGACTTTCTAAGAACATGTTTTAAAACCGTTTTCTCAGAAACACTCAAAATTATCAATATGGTATAAATACATTTTACATGATATTTCCTTATGTACTGTCTTCTCGTTTTTATCCTAATTTGTTTTCTTTTCAGGCCACAAATAATATTGTTATAGTAAGGGATTTTAATTTATTTCTTTCTTTCTGAAGACAAGCATTGTCTATTTTCTTAAACTGACACGATTTCAATATTAGTCATTCCTGTTAGTCAATTATCTATTAGCTTGATAGAAACATATATACTGTTTGAAACCAGTACTATGACATAATTTTAATTTTATAGAAAATTCAGTCTCAATAACCAAATATTTTTTCTGTAATTTTTAATATTTTTTCGGGATTCTTGTTAAAAAAAATGATCGCTATTGACGTATCATATTGAACCGAAGCCTGAAAATAAATTTGAATATCCTACTCCTTTTATGTAAGAAAACAGTTAACACTATCATATATTTCATCTTATATTTCATCTTACATGGACTTACTGTCCCGCTTGGAATCTTATTAAGACTGTAACGAGACGTAGAAACTAGACACAAGTCAACATTTGCAAATTATTGTACTTTCACATCTTGAGTTCCAGATGTTGCGTAAGCGTTATTATGTGTCATATATTATGAAAAAGTAACAAGACTATATATATTTATGTATATACTATATAATATTAATAGAATGTAGACACAAAATATAAATGTCGAAAATATCTGTATTGTATATTAAGAATATGTGGTTTTTATACATTAAAGGAAAATGGGAAAGTTACACAATATAGCTGTCAAGCCGATGATAAAACGAAATGGAAGCGTTTAATCATAACAAAGCTGTTGATATATTTCGATTTCTATCAAAGTTAATAGTATTATGTGTAAAAATGTACTATTGAAAATTTTAAAAACAATACGTATTGAAGAAAATGTTTTATAACTTTTCTTTAATTGTTAATTAACATTTTCATATAAATTATTTAGTTTATGATGGAGTTGTTTTTTACTGCCTTGCTTTATTACCGAACGATCAAAAAGATATTGCTTTTCATGTCATTAAGTATGCGAGACTCGTTTTTCTAGATAGGATGAAGAAAATGACCTTGAACTTCCACTCAATCGTGGACACAATTACTTCTGAATGTTCGACACAGTTATACACATTCGTTGTCATTTTAAGACAAGTTAGTTTAATTGAGTAAGAAATTTATTCTTGAAAAATGCTCAACTAAGAAGAGTTCTTCGGATATGGCCAATGCTTTGCAATTGGTGGAATAACTTTCTATGTATACCTAAATAATGATATCATTACCAGAGCTCGAAAACTGTGATAGGTGAGGAGTGACCGTAATTTCGAATATTTTTCGACGACTTATTTCCCGATAAATATTCCATTATAACCGATCCCTAAGCAACTCAATTATTCAGATGAATATCGAGACTTCATTTTAAATAAACATCATGTCTGATCGTAAATTCACTTATTGTCCATGTCTTTTGTGATGAGGGTTATCATTTTCAGCGGTCTATTTTGTTTCTTAGCATTTACCTTGTTGCTTGACCGATGTTACATTAGGAACAGATCTAGGATATATTAAATGTATTATAGGAGTGAATCACTCCATATGAAATACTCCAGAAGTTTTTTATATAAAAATTTACTTCGTAAATTGCAAGTTGACCTAAACCGAAATTTGTTTTCTCTAAGTAAAGTATAACATAGTGGTATATATTTTAAAAATAAAGTCATAAACATCTTTGTTTAATATTATCACAAACTTCACTTCTATTAAAATAATGAAATACAGCTAAAATTATTTATAAACAATACTTTACACTGTTAGTTTTCTTTAGTACGCTATTTTGTTTAATAATCTATGGTCAGACGTATACCAACACTTTTCAACTGAAAATATAAAATTTAATGATAAATCCCTACCATAATAAATTTTAGAGTTATATACCTATCCTGGAAACTTAAAAAAGTTTGGTGTTTTTGTATAAATTAATTAAATTTGCGAAATTTAAAATAAACTTTTTTATACCTTCACCTCATTAAAATACATGACTCTCTCACAACTAAACCTATTAAATCCCGGACTGATTAACGTATTAAAACTTTTCAAATTACATACAGCCTACAAACTAAAACCGATCTCAATAAAATAGAGAAAAAAAGTATTTCACTGCAATATTATTTCTTTGATAAAAATAAAAAATGGTAAAATTACTAAAAAAATTAGGCTTTTAAACGAATTTTACATTCGCTTTTTTTAATTTACACAATAGATCCGCTTAGTAATAAATTATAAGGGACAAATCATAACTTATAGGACAACTACGGAACCTACTCGAGACGTATATTATATTAAAAATTTAATAACTAAAGATCATAAACTATACATAAGACTACATTTCTTGTTGTAAGTTAGGATAACAATGCCATAACATGACTTGTGTGGTATCAGGAATCTTATGGTTCACACGGCCAGAGGTGTTCGTTCATTGAGAGAAAACCTGTTATAGGAAACAAGAGCTTTGTGAAATTAAATAACAATAGATTTTACTGTCAACCTTAAAAAGAAAAATATAAAACCTTAATAAGGTTTCCTACAGTCTGGAAAGCTGTAAAAATGTCTTACAAATCTATTTAAACACTTTTTTATCAGAGATAAATTTTTCGAGAAGCAATGTGAAATTCATTGTAGAATCTGCATAAGCTATTGTTGAAAGTTATATTCCATATCACCAGTATGCTTCCATAAAACCAACTATACTTGAATAGAATTTTTTATCCGATTCTTTCATTGTGTAAATGTATATGTATGTATATATGATTTTCATTTTTTGCATAGATTTCCTATAATTTTAATAAATACAACACTATTTATAATTGCCGGTTACTTCAAAATCATTATGACACTTAAAAACAAAAAAATAAGAAATGAAATTTTCGCAAAATTTCAAGAAAAATAATTAATTTAATATTTGCATATATCACCAAAATATTATAAACTAGAAGACCTGGCGAACTTCGTATCGCCCTATAATCAAGAAATATCTATTACGTTTTTTTATTTATATTTTTGGAGTTTACCTGTAAGCTATAAATCTGCGTGTTTTGAAGTGCGACAGAATGATTGACATATTAGTTAGTTGTCAATCTAATGTCAAAAAAAACGTTTGTATGGGGAATAGAAAAGGGCTGTTTCTAGGATTTTCCCGGCAATTATTCCAATTTTTCTCACCTTTTAAACCTTCCCTGGACTTCCAGGAGTATTTCAAGACTAAAATTAGCCAAATCGGTTCAGCCGTTCTCGAGTTTTAGCGAGACTAAGGAACAGCAATCCATTTTTATATATATAGAAGATAACTTCAGAAAAATTTTATTGACTTGTTAAGGGAATGTAAACATTTTGCTTATCTCAATACAAATATCACTTGAAACCACTTTTAATTCAAAAATAATCTATTTATAATCATAAAACATGCTTAGACAATAGGTAGAAAAAAGAAAAGAAAACACTTGTAACTGTTGTAGTCAACGTTTTTGGTACTAATTAACAATTGTTGTGAATAATTCTTCTACCTGGCATTTTCCCAGCTTTAGCCAGGGTCTGCCGTACATTTTGTGAATAGTTTTGGCTTATTATTTTTACGTCTGGCCGCCTGCCTGACATTAACCCTCTTTTGGGAATGCATTAATCAGTAATGTCTAAATGCAGCGGGAGCGGCAGCGGGAGCGGCAGCGGCAGCGGGAGCGGGAGCGGCAGCGGCGGCGGGAGCGGGAGCGGCAGCGGCGGCGGCAGAGGGGGCGGCAGCGGGTGCGGAAGGGGGAGCGGCAGCGGGAGCGGCAGCGGGATCGGCAGCGGGAGCTGCAGCGGGATCGGCAGCGGGAGCGGCAGCGGGAGCGGCAGCGGTGGCGGCAACGGGAGCGGCAGCGGTGGCGGCAGCGGCAACGGGAGCGGCAGCGGGAGCGGCAGAGGGGGCGGCAGCGGGTGCGGAAGCGGGAGCGGCAGCGGGAGCGGCAGCGGGATCGGCAGCGGGAGCTGCAGCGGGATCGGCAGCGGGAGCGGCAGCGGGAGCGGCAGCGGGAGCGGCAGCGGGAGCGGCAGCGGGAGCGGGAGCGGCAGCGGGAGCGGCAGCGGGAGCGGCAGCGGGAGCGGCAGGATCTTACGCGTATAATCAAATGGACCGACCCTCGAATACAGCGGTGCCCGCTGTATTCGAGGCCGAGGCCTTAAAGTTATTATTACTTTGTATTAAATTTTTCATACTCTCGATGCTCATTAAGCATTTATAATGACTCTAAAGAATCTTACTTATTATTGAAATCTAATGTTATACTAAATCTTAGCACTTATTTAAAGGTAATAAAAATGTTTTTAAAAAAGTGGAATCTTAGTTTTTAAAATAAATTTTTTTAACAAGTCCTCTTTGATATTTGAAATTTATATTTTTTCCATTTTGACTGTAATACGAACAATTTGTGCAATAACGATTGATATAAATGAGGTTAAGTAAAGGATTTATAAAATATCGTGATCAATGTACTATAAAAAAACAGCTTATATTTACCCACCCACACATTCACGCCACTGTAAACTACCATAACGAAGCCACTTACAAAGTTGTATTTCTTTTGAACAAACAGGTGTTTCGAATTAATTACTTGGCAGCGACTGCGACGTAAATTGGACAGAGTGAAATATCGGTACAAGAGTCACAAAACATATACCGAATATTAAAACAGACATATTACGTAATCAGCAGTATGTTAATACAAATAAGATGTTGTTTGAGTTATTTATACCTTTCATATCCCAAGTACTTAATTAAACAATTTATTTATTATTCACCTTGCATTGACTACTGTAATTGTCCTTCTTAAAATGTTTTCATAAAATCTTTTAAAGTGGCTTTAAGTTAAATTACAACTAAATAAATTTTTCAAAGCAATTTCCTAAAACATCAATATAGTATTATTGAATTATTATTATTTATACGATTGAAGAAGTTTTATATCAACATTGAACAGGTCAACACTTAGCGCATTTTATATAGTATGTATGTATTTCATTAAGAAAAACAAAAACATATGCTTAATATTATGAATTAAACTTAAAATTTTATTTGTCTTAATAATTTGATTCACTTCCAGATCCCCTGATAAATAAAATATTAGATCATCTAATAAAAACTAATATAACTTTGTTAGAGACATAAACTTCGTATTAATTTCGTTTACTCCAAATTCTCCAAGGAATCGCCTGATTCAAAATAATATTATTCATATACAATTGAAGGGGCCAGTATAAATTATTTGTTGAAGGTTTTACTGATAAAAAGTTAGCAAGGCTGTTATGAAATTTTTCAAATATTTCGCCGGTAAAACAATATACCCTTCCTATACCATCAGATTTCCCAATAAGGAAGAGAAAATTTAATGTAAATGTGACCCATAAATATCTGTAAGCTACCTTTTGATACAGTAATTACTTTTTTAACATCGGTAAAATCGGTTATTAAAATTAACAACTTTTAAACTTCACAATGTAATATCAACATGTTTCAAATTAATTTCTCTCGAGAACATATGACTGTTAATCAGAGCATCACAAACAAATTAATTTCTTTCCAATGGAATAATTCAATTTCTATGATAATAAAGCAGAATTAGTATATAGCACGAAAAAGTATCTATTCTCAGAAATTTTCTTAATATGAACAATTTTTATTTATATTTAGTTTCAAATTTAAGTTAAGATTTCAAAATAAGGTGTATAAAAATCATTTGTTACAAAAGATTGTGTGTGTGTTTTTTCTTATATATGTATCTAATAAATGACTGATCTCAGAATTCGTAAATTGCCACATTAGTAAAGTTACCGCTACATCTGTTCCTGATAATCAGTTGACGTTACTTATTCATAAGGATTAAAAGTCAACACAATACCATCTTATTATGTACTTTATTAGTAAGTCAAGAACTATTTGGATGTTCGTAGTAATTAAAGAACTATTGTACCTACTTCTTAAATAAATAAATTTATTTATTTTCATCTGTAATTAAGACACTGTTAAAATCTATATGTATCTATTAAAATCTATATCTATACCTAAATATAAAACAGAAATGATATGTAATGTTTTAGACTTGAAAAGTTGTGCTGAAGTCTACAAACGAAATATTAAAATATATGAAAGATTAGAGGTGTTTCAATTATCATTTTCCTCTTCATACCAATTCATATTGACTATGAAGATCTTTACAGTTTACTTGTCTTTTAGATAGCTTTGTTAAGTTTATTAAATGAACAACGCGATAAACTAGGTCGTTGCTGGTAAAATTAAAGTACTAAAGTGTTAATGTTTTTTAAACCGACACTAAAAGCTTTGTACGTGCTGTATATACACAACATAATTCTACTTTTATATGAAATAAAACGACTGGAAGTTACGTGTTATGTTATTCTTGTAACTAAAACAACATAACTAACGAGATCTACTAAATAGGTTAGTACGTTTAAATGTGTACTCGCGAAAATCTTAGATCTCATTAGTACGTGAGACTTGCGAGTAAAAAATATTCGGGTTACAACAACTTGGGCGTCTAATTTATAAAAGTACGTAATATGTAAAGATTTTTTGTGTTTCTTTTATTACTGTATTTATTAGTACCATCATTTATATATGTATATCTGTCTCCCAGATTTTAAACTACAAACTTTTAAGTGACATTGTATGTAGATTATTTATTCCATTTAATGTACAACTTAACATTTGATTTTATTTCGTTTCTTATAAAAAACATATTTAGTTTTTTTTGAGGAAACGCATGAAAATGTGTTTACCTTGCTATTTTACAATCAAAGCCTTTCAAAATAAATTGATGCCTTTGGATAAAAATAAAAATACAAATACGAAAGCCTAAAATATACTCTCACTTTAACTAATCAGAATATATCTGATGGTACCTTTATAGACTCCTTCACCTAAATATGAAAGTTAAGTTAAAAAGGAAAAAAAAACTAGTAAACCTTATATGACTTAACTAGTGATAACTAATTTTTGTTTTCAGGTGTACAAATATTCACTTATATATTAATTATTATTACTAATGCCATTTGTCGAAACAAAAAAAAAACCGATCTAGTCAATTCGTATCAGATTTAAATTAATTATTTATGACTCAAAGAAACGACTTTTCACCCTACCAACATCAGTTCCTCTTTACCAATAAAAAAACAGAAAATACCATTGGTTTACTTTATATGTACAAGTGAAACTTTGAACTTCTCATCTTTTTGTTTTAGTTACAACTGTTTCGTTCCAATAAAGAAAAAAGAAATTCTCATAGGATTTTATCCCCCGACTTTCTAAGAACATGTTTTAATACCTTTTTCTCAGAAACACACAAAATTATCAATATGGTATATATACATTTTACATGATATTTCCTAACATACTGTCTTCTCGTTTTTATCACTAATTTGTTTTCTTTTTAGGCCAGAAATAATATTGTTATAGTAAGGGATTTTAATTTATTTCTTTCTTTCTCAAGACGAGCATTGTCTATTTTCTTAAACTGACACGATTTCAATATTAGTCATTCCTTTTAGTCAATTATCTATTAGCTTGATAGAAACTTATATACCGTTTGAAATCAGTATAGTATAACATTATATTAATTTTATTAAAAATCCATTCGCAATAACCAAATATTTTTTCTGTAATTCTTAATATTTATTCGGGATTCTTGTTAAAAATAATAATCACTATGGACGTATCATATTGAATCGAAGCCTGAAAAAAAATTTTAATATCCTCGCTAAGAACAGTAGATAAGTAATATATAATTATATACAATAAAATCTTGTAAGAAAACAGTTGATACTATCATATATTTTCATCTTACATGGACTTATTGTTCCGCTCGGAATCTTATTAAGACTGTAATGAGACGTAGAAACTAGATACAAGTCAATATTTGCAAATTATTGTACTTTCACATCTTGAGTTCCAGATGTTGTGTAAGCGTTATCATGTGTTATATGTATATTATGAAGAAGTAACACGACTATATACATATATAAAACATTATATTAATAGAATTTAGATACAAAATATAAATGTCGAAAATATCTGTATTGTATATAAAGAATATGTGGTTTTTATACATTAAAGGAAAATGGGAAAGTTACACAATATATGTAGTTGTCAAGCCGATGATAAAACGAAATGGAAGCGTTTAATCATAACAAAGCTGTTGATATATTTCGATTTCTATCAACGTTAAAATTATTATACGCAAAACTTAACTATTGAAAATTTTTAAAACAATACGTATTTAAGAAAATGTTTTCTAACTTTTCTTTGATTGTTAATGTTAATTAACATTTTCATATAAATTATTTAGTTTATGATGGAGTTGAATTTTATTGCCTTGCTTTATCACCGAGCGATCAAAAAGATATTGCTTTTTCATATCATTAAGTACGCGAGACTCGTTTTTCTAGATAGAATGAATAAAATGACCTTGAACTTCCACTCAATCGTGGACACAATTACTTCTGAATGTTCGACACAGTTATACACATTCGTTATCATTTTAAAACAAGTAAGTTTAGTTGCGTAAGGAATGGATTTTTGAAAAATGCTTAACTAAGATTTCTAAGGATATGGCCCGATGCTTTGAAATTAATGAAACAGCTTTCCATGGATACCAAAATAATGATATCATTACCAGAGCTCGAAAACTGTGATAGATAAGAAGTGACCGCAATTTCGAATATTTTTCGACGACTAAGTTCCTGATAAATATTCCATTTTAACCGATCCCTAAGCAACTCAATTATTCAGACGAATATCGAGACTTCATTTTAAATAAACATCATGTCTGATCGTAAATTCACTTATTGTCCATGTCTTTTGTGATGAGGGTTATCATTTTCAGCGGTCTATTGTGTTTCTTAGCATTTACCTTGTTGATCGTCTTATGTTACCCAAAGAACACATATAGGGTATAATAAATGTTTTATAGGAGTGAATTACTCCATATGAAATACTCCAGAAGGCATTACAATTTATATAAAAAATTTACTTCGTAAATTGCAAGTTGGCCTAAACCGAAATTTGTTTTCTCTAAGTATAGTATTACATAGTGGTATGTATTTTAAAAATAAAGTCATAAAAAATCTTTGTTTAATATTATCACAAACTTCACTTCCTTTAAAATAATGAAATACCGCTAAAATTATTTATAAACAATATTTTACACTTTTAGTTTTCTTTAGTACGCTATTTTGTTTAATAATAATCTATGGTCAGACGTATACCAACACTTTTCAACTGAAAATATGGGTGTAATGATATCTCCGTACCATAATTAATTTTAGAGTTATATACCTATCCTGGAAACTTAAAAAATTTTGGTGTTTTTGTATAAATTAATTAACTTTGCGAAATTTAAAATAAACTTTTTTTTATACCCTCACCTCATTAAAATATATGACTCTCTCACAACTAAACCTATTAAATCCCGGACTTATTAACGTATTAAAACTTTTCAAATTACATACAGCCTACAAACTGGCCAGCTTTATAAACTAT